TTTTTTTTTATTGCCAGTGCACCTTAATTTATGTTCACTGATAAAGGAAAATGGTTGTAATTTAGGGAGTTGGGTTCTGTATAATAAAATTCTATTTTTTTGGTCCCTTAAATAATGCCCTTAATCATAAGCAATAATAATAGAAACTATTTATTGCCCACATACTTTAATGCATTTTCTGTAACAGTAAAGGAAAATGGGAAAATGGTTGTAATCAAGGAAGCTGGACTTTTTGTAATAAGTTCCAATTGTTTTTTTCTCTAAAATGCTCTTGTTATTTATTATAAGCATTGATAATACAAAGTTAGACTTCCCTGGTGTTGGTACTTGAGAAGGGGCACTGTTGAGTCATTTCTAGTTTTCTTCTCTTAGTATTGACAGCATATGGAAAGCTCTACTAAAAAAATAAAACCTATATTATTTTTAATGACTCTTCTTGGCATAAGTAATCTATATACTGATGTATTTCAAGTACAGCAGAAATAGAAATTATGTAAATGTGCTGATGTACCAATGGACTAGACACTAAGTGTGTTCTTCTGTTATTATAAAATAATATAGTAAGTAAATTTAAACAGTATATTTGAAAATCTTAAGGTATGTTTATTACTTGTCTGTTTGATTTGGGTCTAATTATTGTAATCATTTGACCATGATGCAACAGGTTTGAAAAACAATAGAAAAAAGTCAGATGAAGTATGAGTACATTTCTATTTTTTTCTCTGGGTCTGCTCCATGAAGACTGGCACACAACCTTTTAATCGTGCGATGCTCTTCAATGTGGGCTTCAAAGAGGCCATGAAAGACAGTATCTGGGACTGTGTAATCTTCCACGATGTGGATCATCTACCTGAAAATGACCGGAACTATTACGGATGTGGAGAAATGCCACGTCATTTTGCTGCAAAGCTGGATAAATACATGTATATGTAAGTAGTATGCACTGTTCCTGATACTGTACGATATAATTGCACAGTCATAGCATTGAAATGATAGCAGCATTATGTCCCTAAATCTGAGACAACTCAAGAATTCCAAGAATATCATCTTTAACTGCATCACGTCCTCCTGGGGAGTCAGGATACAAAGTGGCTTTTTGTTCCTCTGGGTGCTTCCTTACACAGAGGTTTGAATGTGGTGTGGTAGAAAAAACCTGGTTTCTGTGGTCAAGCACAGGCAGATTTAAACTTGGGTTCTCACGCTTATAGCTCCAGGACTTATAGGTAAGTCGCTTGCATCTCTGAAGGTATACTGCTTGTTCGCTGAGATAATAGATCCCATCCATAGAGCTGTTGTGAGATCATATATGCTTTGTGCCTGCTGGGTGGTAGGTACATAACTCATCTTGACTCCTGCCTATTCTCCTCCAGTGATGGTTTGGAGGGCCACAACGCCCTCTCTTCTGCTATTTATTGTCTTCCTAAGCTATGCACTCTTGACCTGCCCTTTAATAAAAAAATCTTTTGCTTCTCTAATTGGACATAATTTAAGATGTGAACAGTTATCAGAGCTGAGACTGTAACTTAAAAGGACCTGAAAGAATGCAGGTGTAATCCTGGGAAAGGATCACAGTTTTCATTGGCTAGCGGGAGTGGAGAGACAAGAAAGCTGTTTGTTGCTTAGGGCAGGAGGGTGTTGCTTATGTTACAGTTTTGCATGGTGCTAGTCTACAGAGTAGACAGAAGCAAAAAGTCTGACAAAAGCAAGAAAAGAATGCTTGCTTTCTTCTTCCTCTTCCTCCTCCCCACTCCCCTCCTTCCTCCTTCCCCCTTGCCTCCTTCCCCCTTCCCTCTTTCCCCCTCCCCTCCCTCCCTCCCTCCTTCTTTCTTCCTTCTTTCTTTTTTTCCTGGTCATTGTTATCATTAGAAAACCTTTTCCTTTTTTACCTCTGTATCTGAGCTCTGAGTATGGGATTACCTTGAAGAAGGCCATCAAGGTTCACAATCTTGTTCTTACCACTTCTGGAAACTTGATTTTGGTCAGCTTGCTGGAATCAAATTAGATCCAAGGTAACCGATTTCCACTAAAAAGAAAAATCGTAAAGATCACATAAACTAAGAATTCTAAATTAATTTGATATACTTCAAAATATCAATCTCTAATGAACAAAATACTGTTGACCTTTGAACAGTGCAGGGGTTAGAGTGGTGACCTCCACCCCTGCTGGAATACAGTTGAAAATCTAGTATAACTTTTGATTCCCCAAAAGCTTAACTACTTATAGCCTGCTGTTAGCCAAGAGCCTTACCAATAATATAAACAATTGAGTAACACATATGTATATGTATTATATACCATATTCTTACCATAAAGTAAGCTAGAGAGAAGATGTTAAGAAAATCATAAGGAAGGGAAAATATATTTACTGTCCACTAAGTGGAAGTGGATCATCCTAAAGGTCTTCATCCTTGTTGTCCTCACGTGGAGTAGGCTGAGAAAGAGGAGGGGTTGGTCTTGTCTCGAGGGTGGCAAGGTGAAAGAGTTGAGACGGAAAGGAGGCAGGACAGGAACATTCAGTGTAACTTTTATTGAAAAAAATTGTGTATCAGTGGACTTGTGCAGCTCAAACCTGTGTTGTTCAAGGGTCAGCTGTATTCATATCCAACTAGATTAATCCCTGGATTGGTAGGGCATCTTGGACGTTTGTGTAGAAATTAGAATGTAGCTCAGGGAGAATGGCAGTAGATCAAGGCATAGGCTGCACAGTGCATAGACATCAGCTGTGGGATGAAGCCTGGTGAAGTGTCCCTGTCCCACAGTGGTGGCCACACTGACACCTGCTGACCAGAGAACTCGGACCCCCCCTCCAGGTGTGGTGTCTCTCCCACTTTGGACAGTGTAAGATAAACACTGCAGGAGTTTTACTTGTTGGGTTTTGTTTTCTGTTCTTTAGCTTATCTGTTATACCTTCATTTTACCTACTAACTTTCCATTCTTTGTATAGTACAATTGACTATTTCCACTTAGTAAATGGAATTGACATGCTTGCTGATTTATACATGTCAGTAAACACACACACACATTTATTCACAATTCCCTATCTAACAATCTCATATTTCTCCTAAACTACTAGCCTGGGCAAGAATAATCCATCTGATGTGGAAAGTACATGGTGCGAAGAACACTTATTGGCCCTATGGAACCCCCAGCCAGTCTAATTATAATACCAGAACACTAAGTTCCCAAGTGTGAGCCTTGAGAGGTTTCAGGAGAGAGTATGGATGGCTTTAGGATCAGGGTTGCTGTTATTGTCTTGGAGTACCTTTTTCCTAGGGCGAGGGCAAGACTGCTTTTTTCTACAACCCTAGGCTTCCATGAAGGAGCTACTTACTCTTCCCTGGTCTATGTGCCACACGAGAACCCAGCTGGCAAACAGCACATCCTTCTCACATTGTGTGAAGAGAGTCTAACAAAAAGGTTCCTCTTCTGAGACAGCTTTGCTGTGGTCACAGCCAGGTTTCCCTCTGCTTGATTTTTGGGTGCTGTGCATGGTCATGTTTTCTCTGCTCCAGCATCTGCTCCCAACAGGCGTGTTTCAGGCCACAGGAATGTATTCAGGGCTGCAGGTCAAGGGACGCTGCCTGAACATCAGAAAGCCAGTCTATATCTAAAAGAACAATTTAGCTAAGTAAAAATACAGTTTAGAAAAGTTTTAAAGCATTGTATTGTTTGACAAATTCCTTGGAGCATGAGTTAGGGAAGGATAAGGAAAATAAAATCGAAATAAAAATATAGTTATTTCCATAAATATCAGTGCATTGAAAATGAACGCATTTGTAAATATCCATGAGTGTTTTGAGAGTATAATCCCAACAGATAAGATCATTATAAAAGTAGGCAGCTAGAAAATTAAAAGCTAGAGTTGTCTTTTGTAATTGATATTTATCCTGCTCTATATAATAAATAATGCATTTATAATTCAGTTAATTTTTAAAATGTTACTTGTTTAGGAACATCTGACATGCATTGATAGTTATTAATATATTTAATCATGTTTACTTTTGTTGTGAAAATACACAATTTTGGGGCACTGGATTTTGAGGCTTACAGGTTTTATTTTGAGCCTTATTTGTGTACTAAATATTAAATTTCAGTTACCATAAGTGCTTTATGTTTAACATAACATAATTTACATGCACTTGTTTCATTAGTGCATGTAATTTTATTTCATAAAATGTTTTGTTTCTTGGTCTACTTTACATTTTTTAATATAATTATCTATAGAATACAAGGGCATATTTTACAAAGCAAATGAAAGACTGCAAACTTCATGTCACATGGCAAACTAGTATGACTTTATTTTTAGAATACTGTATCTTTCTTTTCTAGTCTTCCATATAAAGAGTTTTTTGGTGGTGTAAGTGGGCTGACAGTGGAACAATTTAGAAAGATCAATGGTTTTCCTAATGCCTTCTGGGGATGGGGAGGAGAAGATGATGACCTTTGGAACAGGTATGTTGAGGTACAAATTGTTAACTAATAGAATTTTTATAAATTTTATTTCTATTAGGTAAACTGTAGTACTTATCTATTCCAAGAAAAGATTCTTTGGAATGGGAAATGTTTGAGGTTTCTAAACCCTATTTTCTGTTTCTCCTTTTTATTATTTTTATTTATTTATTTTTTTTGGTTAAGATTGCTTTCTGAAATTGTCAGCAGCATATAGATTAGAGCAGTGGTCCCCAACTTTTTTGGCACCAGACACCAGTTTCCTAGAAGATAATTTTTCCATGGACCCAGGATGGTGGTTTTGGGATGAAACTGTTCCACCTCAGATCATCAGGCATTAGATTTTCAGAAGGAGCACACAACCTAGATCCCTCACATGTGCAGTTCACACTAGGGTTCACGCTCCTATGAGAATCTAATGCCACCGCTGATGTGACAGAAGGAGCTCAGGCAGTAATTCTCACTCACCTCCTGCTGTGTGGCCCAGTTTTTAACAGGCCATGGACCTGTACTGGTTTGTAGCTCAGAGGTTGGGGAACCCTAGACTGAAGCATTCTTTTGTGTTTTAAAATTGAACTCACATAACCCATTTTCATATTTTATTTCTGAATTTTCATTTCCACATGTGGTATTATAGAGTTCACTATGCTGGATATAATGTAACCAGACCAGAGGGAGACTTAGGAAAATACAAGTCAATTCCTCATCACCATAGAGGTGAAGTCCAGTTTTTAGGACGGTAAGTTGAATGTCATCTTCAGATACCAAGGTAAATAAAAATGGGTTGAACCCCAAACAAGCTGCTGAAGGGAATTTTCATAATGGAAGGAAAGTATTTTTTGCCAAAGGGAATCATTACAAAGGAAGCATTTTTTGGTGCTTCTTTTGAAGAGATATACATATATATGTATTAATAAATACACATATTTACCTTAAAGAGCCCGGTTATCTATTTAAAGTGTAACATTTTATTTATTAAAGATGTCTAATTGTAAAAGTGCAAAATAATTTTTTCAGGTGGCATTTTTTGAGTAGTAAAATTGCTAATTTAGAATAATAGTTTAAATATTCTTATATTATGCACAAGAACCAGAAATTGTAAAGAGCATTAGCTACTTTAATTATAAGATGACCTTGAACACTTATCAGTTTTCCTTTTTGAACGTGTTTCTATTACTTTTTTGTTTTTTTCCTCTAAAACTATAGGTATAAACTACTAAGGTATTCCAAGGAGCGTCAGTACATCGATGGGTTGAACAATTTAATATATAGGCCAAAAATACTGGTTGATAGGTTGTATACAAACATATCTGTAAACCTCATGCCAGAGTTAGCTCCAATCGAAGACTATTAAAAGAAGTGGCCCTCATGGCAACATAGACCACAATGCTGGATCATAAATTTGGAGTGCACTCTTAGTGGACGTCAGTGATTGGCTGTGTCACAGTGCCCCCTTTTCTGAGAAGAGCCAGCTGTCCTCAATGTTTACAGAGTGGGAATATACATACAATCACCCTTCTCTCACCTGTCCTCCCTGCTCTGAGACATGCCCCGACGGTGAGCACCGCAGAAACTAGAAGCCACTACTTAAGATTGGAAGTTAAGAGAGCTCCCTATGAAGAGAAAATTTTTATACTAAATCTATAATTTAATTCAAGAGAATGCTTTTATTTCCATTTAAACATATTTTGTATATATGTGATATAAATTAAGGTGTGCAAATTGTTAAAAAATAAGATGTGTTGCAATTTTGCATGTAATTGGTTATACCTTTATTGGACTTTTATAGACATTTTTTATTTGCATGAAAAAAACCTCACTAAATTTATGCCACTAAACAAAGGTTAACCCTTGTGTGAAATGAAGGAACTGTCAATAATTGACAGCCAACTAATACAGTAAACTGTTATACTAGTTTTGAGCTTTAGACCTCAGCCTTTTGTGTGGAAGAAGTCACAGCTTTCTTAGGCTTTAAAGGGAAAGAAGAAAAGACTTAAACAGCTTTTCTTCCTACCAGTATTACCTATGTTTTTCCTTGCTTGCAGTCTCATCTGATTTTGCTAGAAATCACAACCATATTGTTTATGCATATTGCATGAGTATTACCAAGAAAATCTTAAAAGTTGTGATGTGACATGATATAAAGGACCTCTTTATGTTAAATGTCTTTCATGTACCTCTGGTGTGTCAGGGATTTTGTGCCTCAAAAAATGTTTCCAAGGTTGTGTGCTTATACTCTGTATTTTTTTTAAATTCACAGTGAACAGCACTTTTATTATTTCCAGTTTAGAAGAGCCAAAAAAAGTATCTTCATTTAAAAAGAAATCAAGTCAGCTTTTTTTAAAAGAATGATCTATGGAAGAAAACCCAATAGTGCTTATAATATACAAATGAATTATACTATTAGATAAGAATTAAATGTTCTATTTTTATGAAGATAAATACTTAGCAGATAAAAACATATTTTAAGTTTAGTTCTCAGGCATAGAATTTCGCTTTTGGAGGGGACCCTTGAATGTTAGTCAGTTTCATTCAAACTATATATATATATTTTTCACTTTTAAGAGATTATATATCTGGTGTTAATTACTAAAATTTCCTTTCTAAAAGTATAATTTAATTATCTTAAAATACATGATCAGTTATTAAGTGCACTGATACTATAATGTCTTCTATATGTAGTATCTTGTATGTTTCCATGAGTGTCAGGGCTTTGTCCAGTTGTCTTCATATGACAGTTCTCTGAAAAAGGGTCTTACTACCTGATACCAAGTACCTATCTTAATTTTGGATGAAGTTTTCCACAGCAAAGCCAAACAGTGTTCTTTTTTGAAAATTAGCAGTTATAAAGATTCTTTAAAATATCTTGATATTTTCACAAATTTAAAACAAGAAAATAAAGTAACTCTTCGACAACAATAGGAATCTATATGTGAGAGAGATTTGTATAATATTTGCCTCAAGGATTGTTTACCTGAAACAGAACTATGGTTATTTATCTCAGATTGTAAGTTTTATTTTGAATGGCAATATTGATAACACAAATGACCACAAAATAAATTAGAAAATAATTGAAATTCTTACACTTTGAGAAAATGGATAGCGTCTCTGTTATGATACCAAACAAAATATTTTCACATTTATTTATTAGAAATATTTCCAAAATATTTATCTTTTGTGGTACTCAAAATAATGAAAAATCAAACTTTCTGAAAATTACAATATTTATAGCTTATTTGTGTATCAGTTCATTTTCTGTGTCTATTACTAATGTAGTTTTAAAAGTCAAACTGGGAATGTTAACATTTGTTGATCACTAATGTGATAGGGGTGTAATTAACCCAATAATACTGAAATAGTGGTGGGGAAAATTAGGACTGTTTCTGAGTCTTACCATAAAGGAAACACTTTTTTCTCTTTTTAATATGGAGCTGTCCACATTGGTATCTTTTCATTTTTATATGCATTTTACAATTTCAAGGAAATTTAGTACTACTAGTATCTGCCTTATTTTCTTAAGTGTGACGTTAATTTTTGTTTCAGGAGTGAGATATAAACATTTTGCTTTTTTTTTTCAGTTTTGAATATGGTTTGTTATCCTGTGAAAACACTCATTAGTTTGCTTTTTGTTTGGTTTGCTTTTTTAGTGTAGACCTAAAATTATTTTTGCCTATAAACAGTGACCTTAATGTGTTTCTGTAAGATTGACAGAGCTGTGCCCAGTTATCTTCATTGTATGACAATAAATCTATTACATAAAGATTAACAATTACATTGCAAATGCAAACTATCTTCTTTATAGTATGTTTGGAGGATTTATTAATGAGCATATATTGATTGCCTTTTCCATATCAGTGCAATGCTAGGTATGTCCATGGAAAGAGTATTATTCATTTCTAAACAAATGAGGTCAAGAAAATTGAGATCTTTCTGAAATTATGAAGACATCCTCTGATAACTTATCTGTTGTATTTCCTAGTCTCAAAGTCAGGAAACCTGTATATGTGGACCTGGAGCTAATAGGAGGTCCCTATGGCACTAACTGGGAAAATTACATGGTGCTTTTCAACTACAGAAGGAAGTAATGATTAATAAGCCTGTCTGTAAAGAAGAAAAGGGGAAGAGTATGCATTTGCTGTAACATTGTATCTAATTCACAGTGGCGATAGTTAATTCTTCACAAAAACTAGGGTTTTATGAGGATTTTTAAAATTTACATTTAAATTTTTGTTTTTGTGAAAAGGTATTCAGTAAAGATTATAATATTAAGTAAATACAGTTATGTTTTAAAAACTTGATTATATACCCTTTCCCAGCCAAGATACTTATACCTATTCTGAAACAAAATGGAAAAATGTCCAATACAATATTTTCTTTCTGGAGGCTTCCTACAAGTGAAAGCTGATTTTGTGTCATTTTATTTGGCCTTTGCTTGTCTTTGATGTATTTCTTTATGTATTTTTCAAATAAATACTACTATAGATTTATTGTCTTGGATTTGCAAGTATGCCTGTTGAGAGAACTGAACTGGTCATAGTATTTATCAGAAAGAGGAAGTGTACTTAAGATTATTTTACTTATTTAGATGAAAGGCTTCTATATAAATGCACTGAAATAAATGCTAGTAATTTCTTGTATTCTCACTTTCTTCTTTTTTTGCTTCTCATGGAAATGTTTGTACTTTTTTATCATTGTCTTTTATGAAATATAATATTCTAAAGACTTTGTGTGAAGATGTAATTATTTTCTTCTCAGGAACTTTTTTGGGTTACCTGGGTTTTTTTTTGTTTGTTTGTTATCCTAAATTTTTAATTATTGATGACTATTTTGGTTGACATTAGGGTTGCTATATAAGCATAAGGTAACCACAGCTTAAATACATTTGGAGATCATCTTATTCCTTTTATCTCAAAAAGTAATATTTAAGTATTTTTCATTAGTACAACAATTAGTAATCTATTATATCAAGATAAATATTTAATAATTCATTTTTAGCTTAAATTTTCTTCTCCCTGCACAACTTCAATAAACTAAGCTGGTGTACTATGCTCAATTTACTGCTTGTTTTTCAGGTATCAGGCAGTACAGATTTTTAAGGCAAAGAGCCAAATCTCAAAAATATTTAAGGACAGGCCGGGCGCGGTGGCTCAAGCCTGTAATCCCAGCACTTTGGGAGGCCGAGGCGGGTGGATCACGAGGTCAAGAGATCGAGACCATCCTGGTCAACATGGTGAAACCCCGTCTC